AAGAAATATTTTTCTTTGTTAAAGAGCGAATAATTGTTGAGAAAGGAACAAAAGTAGTACCAGGGGTCCTGCACACATCACACCCCGTAACTCCCTATAATATTGACCTATAAATTTCAAACTCGGTCCGAAATTAGAAGTTAATGTAACTAACAATTGTACGAAAGGAATTTTTTATAGACTAATTAGTGGGCCCACAAAGAACCAAAATATGTTTTGTTGACTAACCGGGAGTTAAATAGCTATTTTTTCTTTGGGAAATAGTGAATAATAGCTAATAAACGAATAAATTTTGGATAATTTTTATTTATTTTATTTTTTTAACTCGTTTTTCAATATTTTTAAGTGAATAAAGTGTTCTATATATGAAAAGAATTATTTCTCTTTGTTAAAGAGCGAATAATTGCTGAAAAAGGAAAAAATTAGGATCAGGGGGCCCGCACACATCACACCCCGTAACTCCCTATAATATTAACCTTTAAATTTCAAACTCGGCCTGAAATTTGAGGTTAATATGCCAAACAAATGTACCAAAGGAATTTTTTAAAGACCATTTAGAGGGCCCAAAATGAGTTTCGTTGACTAAACCGGAGGTGGTGTTTTTATTCTAAATATTCGCGGGGCTAGCATGTGAATTTGCGCGCAGTTGGTTGCACTGTGGGCAAGTTAGATATGTAGTCCCGGAGGCTCTGGGTACGAAACCCTGCGAGGGTCGACTTTTAGATTCTTTTATATTATTGAGATCGTTGAATGGATTAGTACTGATCGATAACTACCAGGACACGAACTACGCATACGAGGCTACGGAGGAGCAGAAGCGATAGGCCCAGATGAGTTCTGGAATATGCACAAGAAATACTTGGAAGATCCAGAAGCCTTCTGGAGCGAGGCCTCGGAATCTTTATATTGGAAAATTCCGGTTCCGAACCAAAATGTCTGCAGGCCCAATTTCGATGACAATAAGGGAAGGATTTTTATCGAATGGATGAAGGGAGCGATGGCCAATCTCTGCTACAATGCACTGCACAGTGTACCAGCATCCAAGGTTTCGTGGCCAAAATTATTATTTCGAAAAATTTGTTTCAAAATTTGGGGGTTCTTATGTGCAGGTAAATTGACTGCATAGTTAAAATTTTGAAATACACTAAAAATATCCAGAAAAAAATGGCGGCTGAAATATGACGAGCAAAAATAAAAAAAATAATATAGCACGTTTAAATAATTAAATATAGCAAAGAAAATATAATAATTTTCGTAATTTTATATTAAAAATGAAAAGCAAATTATATTTCCGAAGTAATATTACAAAATAACGCGAAAATATGAAAAAAAANAGTTAGATATGTAGTCCCGGAGGCTCTGGGTGCAAAACCCTGCGAGGGTCGACTTTCAAACTCTTTTATATTATTGAGATTGTTGAATGGACTAGTACTGCACGATAACTACCAGGACACGAACTACGCATACAAGGCTACGGAAGAGCAGAAGCGATAGGCCCAGATGAGTTCTGGAATATGCACAAGAAATCCTGGATGCTTTCTGGAGCGAGGCCTCGGAATCTTTATATAGGAAAATTCCGGTTCCTATTCTTATGTGCAGGTAAATTGAATTAATAGTTGAAATTTCGAAATACACTAAAAATACCCAGAAAAAAAATAGCGGGTGAAATAGGGCGAGCAAAAATAAAAAAAATAATATAGTACGTTTAAATAATTAAATATAGCAATGAAAATATAATAATTTTCGTAATTTTATATTAAAAATGAAAAGCAAATTATATTTCTGAAGTAATATTACAAAATAACGCGAAAATATGAAAGAAAAACATAATTTTTGTTTTTTGGTATATTTAGTCCACCTTTGTAATACGGGCAAAATGGGGTAGGTTTTTCGGAAAGAAGAAACATCAAAGAAGACAACAACAAAAAGTTTTGCTAAGTACCTCGTGGAACTTTTTGGAACTAAGTAAAGTTACATTTAAAAAGAAATTTTTTTTAGCATATTTTTCATTACATTATATTCTTGTTGGTCCAAAAAGTAAATTATAATGTTTGGAATGATTATGAATACTTAATTTGGGCTACATTAAAACTGTCTACTCATATTTTAGTTGAAAATTTAATTTTTGACTTTTGGCCAAAGATCATGGTTGTCTGGCCCACAGTGCACTGGACAGAAATGTTGAGAATGGACATGGGGAACAAAGTGCCTATTTCTGGTATTGTAATTTTTTTTTTTTATCGTACTACTGATTTTTATTATTCTTTTACCGTCGCAACGATCGGAAGAAAGAAAATTTCATTCTGTTTTGGCGATTTGGAAAGACAAGGGATTGTTTAAGTTACCACTGATTATTTTCACGCTAGGGATTTTTTTTATTTTATTTTCTTACTGCTGCTAACATGATTAAGGCAGTTTTATCTTTCCTATATTACTATAACAAAGGAAATTTTATTCTCTTATTAATACTACTGTAGTAATACAAATTTTATCTTCTTACTGCTACTGCTGTAATAAAGGTATTTTATTCTCTTACCCTTATCTAAGATAAGAGCAGTTTTATCTTTCGAATATTACTATAACAAAGGAAAATATATTCTTTTACGGATAATACTGCAATAAAGGAAATTTATTTTCTTACCACTACTACTGTAATAAGAGAAATTTGTTCTCTTTAAGGTTAGAGGAAATTGTATTCCCTTATCATTGATTACCTTTATTATTTAACCGTTATTACAATGTGGTAGGGCAATTACTTTTATTCTCCTTATTTTCTTTCCTACTATGATATACAATAAGTGAAACATTATTCTTTTAACTCTACTGCTTGGATAAGGGATATTTTATTATCTTATTGCTTATAAGTTTTAAAATTGCAAATTATAAAGAACTCAGAAAGAATAAAAGATTATAAAGAGAAATTTAGAATCATTAATATTGGTTAACAACAACACAGTATTTATATTATTCATATTGAGGTCGGAGTCCTTTATCTCTCCCGACTTTTAGATCTTATCACCAAAAAAAAAATGTTAAAATATTTCAAAATAATAAAATATTTTAAAAATAGTCTTTAATAGACTACAACGTTTCACTATTATCTTTATTAACTTTAATTATAAAGTTGGGGGTTCTGCCGAAAGAAGGTTAATTATTTAGGGTTCCGTAGTCGAAAAATATTGGGAACCGCTAATCTAAAGCAAACAAAGATTTACTATTACCTTCCAGCTATCAACTTATAAGTTTGCTTAGCACGCTTGAAGAGAATAGTCTACAATTAATAAAAAAAAGTTTCATTTCTGCTATAGATTTCATTGGTATAGACTAAAAGTTAAACGTTTTGTAACTGTAACAGAAATTGAAAGTTTTTTTAAAAATAAATTTGCATAACTTCTATTAAAAAAAGTGAGATAAAGAAGCGAGCATCAAGATAAAACGATTGGTAATTTATGGAATATATTAACACTTTGAATTCAGTCATTGAATATGAAGCAAAAAAAAAATGCTTCTTTTTTTCAGTAGATGATTCGTAAAGAAAAACATTAGTCGTAAAATTACGGAAAAAAAATTCGATTAACATCTCGTCATGTTTGTACATAAAGAAAATAAATGCTTTATACTGTAAGATAAATAATATGCTTTTATTGTAATTCTTCAAAAATTATATTTAAAGAAAATTAGACAAAAAGAAGCAAACTAATAAAACACAATTGGTTATTCACAAGAAAAGCAAACATTAGCATTGAAGTACAGATTGGCACTATTTTTCAAACATAACAACAGAAATTTAAAGAACATTTAATGGAATGATTTTTCTTTGAAGAAAATTTGTTTTGTGATAGCAAGAAACAAAGATGACTCCCCCGCCCCCCCCAAAAAAATCAAGAGGGTTAGGTAGTAGACAAAGAAAAGGAATTACATCTAAAAGATAGACTAAGGAATTATTTCTTTATACAGAAAATCTCCAACACTGCCATTGAAAAGCGAGACTTAGCATCATTCCACATATTTTTAAATCTACAATTAGACATGCCAATATTTGTTTAGAGCAAAATAATCTTAAAACGTTTTAAAATAATTTTTAGTAGCAAGCACTTAAAATCCCAAAAATATGTAGTATTCATTATATGTAGTAAAAAATAAAAAAAAAGAAATTTTATAGAGCATTAGAACTAATAATAATTATTTTTTTTCANCTTTTTGCCAATTTTGGTTTGCTTAACTTTTGACATTGCAACCACTGAGAAAAAAAAAGAAATAATATAATAAGTTCTTGCTTTCTCAAAAATTTCTTAGCTGCAGTTTTCATTGTTTACTCGCAAGTTTAATAAATACCCCTCTGGTGTTTTATTGCTCTGTCATTTAAAATGAAACTTATTAAAAATGTTGAGTACTTCTGACTTTTCATAATTTAATCCAATTTAGGAGCTCATTTAATCATTCATGAGTTAGCTTAATAGAAATGTATGTATATATAGAACATTATACCTAGAATGACAGGAGGGGCCACAATGGTCCCTTTAGGTATTTTGGTAGGGACCCCATTATGTCAGGAAAGTTTGGGTATAAGGTACTCTATGGTAAGTATTAAGCACCCCAGCTTCATGAAGAAAAAAAAATCAAAAGTATTTCAATATATGTATAATTATTATTCATAGAGAAAAGGAAACACAGTTGTCTAATAAACTAATATATATATGCATAATTGAAATATCAGTGTTCCATTTAATCAACCAAATTGAATGAAATACCATAGAATCTTGATGATCAAACTTATGCTCGTTGTTCTATTGATTGTAACATGATTCTTACCTAACAATGATTTAGATTTTCTTAGTTGCCTTAGGCAAAATATTTAAGTTTTGAAGGCATTTTGTACCTGTAAAATATTTTTTCTATATTTTCATCTAATTGTATTTACAACCTATAACCTTTTAAAGCTATTATACTTCATTTCTCTTCTCTGCTATTATTACATAGATTTTAATTATTATGCAAAATTAGATGTGTAAAACATTTAATAATAAACATATTCAAAACGTTATGTAACTACGTTTGCAATTATAAAGTAACAAATAAGTTACATTCGCCTTCATAATATGTTTTACATTAAACCATACCAGTCAAAAAATGCAATAAAAATAATTAATACAAAATTGTAAAACATTAAAAATTAACTTTTCACATAGTTGTTAAATATTTTGGGTAATAAACAGATAATAAAAGTTTTTATAATAACTAATCATGAAACAGGAATTTTTTTTTAAAAAAAAGGTTGTCGATGAAGTTTCAACAGTGACCAAACAAAATTATCAGATTTCAATTTCATCCCAACAGTATGAGGAATTATAAAAACAAAGTTGTAAATGAAGTTCCAATGATAACTGAACAAAATGATCAGGTTTCAATTTTGTCCCAACAGAATAGGCAACGAAATATGTGTCAAATACAATATATTCATATCTTTCAGGATAGTTTTTAATTTGTGATGTAGCAATCTGTTTATCTTTAGGAAGGAAAAAAAATGATCGTATAGCAATCACAGGGAAGTGCAGAGAGCCCATAGTGGAAAGATAAAATTTGTAACGGAATAATAAAATCAACAATAATAAACTTAACATTTAATAATGACAATTAAATTTAAAAAAATCACACAATAAAAATTCGGAAATTTAAATTTTTTACAAGAGTCAAAAAATTGGAATTTGTGATCATCGTGGAAAGTCCAATATCCATTGGTATTCCATGTTCTAACAATAATCTCACAACACATTGAAAACTGTATATAAATATATATGTGTGCTGTGTTTTCTTGTTTTAAAAAAAAGGCTGCATGCACATTTTTTCTTCAGTTCTTGTAGGCAAAACAAACAAAGGAAGTCGTCTAAACTCAATAATGGTGTAATAAGCTCAATGCTTCAGCTACTCTGATTCTCACATCTGGGGATTGATCTTTCAACAGTACTAGAAGAGCTGAAAATAAACAAAATGCAAATTTAAGTTGGTTGAATCAACACAGAGACATCGAAAAATGGTTACACTTTCAAGTAATTCAGTAGTTTTGAGTCTTTTATAGCAGTTGTGGGGATATATTTATCAATATTGTAAACCTTCATCTATCAAAAAGGAGCCCCAACAAAGAATCGAGTCTTATATACTAGTGAATTGGAATTGTGTTTTTGTAGTGGTAGATACACTACAGTACTTCCCCACCAGAATTATATCTGTGATAGAATTCACTGAATGGATACCCCTAGTTGATTCATCGCTATTTCGTGAGAAGCCGGAAGAGCTGTATTAAGATCATTGTACTTTTTGAGTGCTGATCGTGAGAGCTGTATTAAGTTCACGGTCGTGGTCCCTTCTGTGTTGCCATTAGCAGTCAGGCCAAAGACGTGTATGATCGAGACTGAGTAGCAACAGTGTGAGGAGGTAGAGAATGTCACAGTCAGAAGTAGCAAGTCAACTGTTCAATGTGAATCATCCATCGAAGTAGGCATGTTTGTATCAAAGTGGTAGTTTCTCTCAAGGTAGGAGGGTTCACATCACGTCCGGGTCACAAACGTGGGAATAGTAGTTATCGACAATGTAAACCTTCATCTGTGCAAAGGTACCCCAACATAGAATCTAGTTAACATGTTTTATAAACCAGTGAATTGAAATTGTATTTTTGTAGTGGTAGACACACTACAGCAGTGGTTAAACTGTTCACCATAGCATCCTGTGAGTGGTTAAACTGTTCACTATAGCATCCTCCATTTCAAGTCTAAAATTAATTCTTATAATAACATGCCATTCGCACGAAACTTTATTTCTACTCTAACACAAATTGGTTAGTAACTTAAAGTGTTTGAATCAACACAGAGACATCAAAAGATGATTACACTTTTAAGTAATTAAGTAGTTTTAAGTAACTTTTTAAAACTTTTTGTAGCAGTGGTCATCAAACTGTTTGCCATGGTATCCTGTGAAAGTGGCGTGGCACACTGTATGGTATCAAGTCTAAAATTTATTCTTAACAGAACATGCCATTTGCATAAAACTTTATTTGTGCCCTAACACAAACTGGTGAGTTACTTACAGGCAATCGGAGATGCACTCTTCTTCTTGGAAGACTTTACATTCAATTCAAACGCTCTCACATACACTGGTTAATTAGTTAAATGCAATCTGAGGCTCACATCTTGTAATCTTTTTATCAATAATCTTGAATGTTGGCACTGACTATTTCATTCAAACAAACCTATTTTTTATTAAGGATTTGTACCAAAATTGAAGAGAAAAAAATATCTAACATATACCTTGTGTAAATTACAAAACATAATCATTGATGCCGACTGCTCCACTTTTTGCATATAAGGCACAAAGGGATTAAAAATAAAAACCAAAACTTAAAGGAATAGAATTAATCTTGTTCATCATTAAAAGGTTCATCACAATATAACTTTAAGTGCTTTTCTACTTTGATTTATTATTTAAAATGTTACTTACTCATTTTGTCTTTTTCTGAATTTGTAAATTAGTTTCATTCTTTGATTAGATCTTAAAATAGCTTTTAAGAAATTTAGATAAATCGATAATTAGAACTAAAAACATTGGCAGTTAGCTTCTTCACCATCATTCCGCGAAGTACAAACTAAATTTCAAATAAACATCAATCAATAATGATAGTGAGAATGCATACCAGAACAGACCCTTTTTTTTTTGGAGTCCAGCTATGCTTTTCAGACGGAAGGTTCTCAAGAATATAACCTAAATATTAGAAAAGAAAAAAAAATATTAGAATTGATAAAAGAGAATTATGGTTGGATAATTATATTTTTGTGTCAAAACTTTTCAAAAATAGCTAAAGAGGAGTGGGGTTAGAAAAGAAACCTAAAACAGGTTTATTTTGTAAATAAACAGTCAATTCATGGTAATTTTTTTAAAATATATATTTAAGTGAGAATAAAATTGTTAAATCAACTATTTGAATTGATTGCGAGGTAATCAAATATTTACTATTTTAAAAATATTAAGCTATCATCTCGAGCAGTTGGGTAGTTCGAGAGGCATCTGTCCCTGCGTGCAAGAGAGTCATACTGGTGATTATTCAAAATTCATTACAAATGAATTCCAGAATAAAATTAATTTTGATATTTTCCATCTCATACATAAGAGTAATCCAAAGGTCTCTTTTTTGTAAGCATAAGCTTAGAATTTAATATTTTTATTTAATTAGTAACACATGAAAATTCTATTCTAACTTTTCAATGGCAATTTTTTTGGATTTACAAAGTCACATTTTGCTTTCCTTTGGACAACTATTTAAAAAATTGCACAATTTTATCGAAAAAATATATTTATAAGGAAATTTATTCTTATAAATTTCCTTACAAATGATTTAAATATGAAAAATGAACAGTTTTTGTATCATTTTTCATACATAAATCAGGCTTAATTTACACAATGGATTGTAATAGCCTGAAGAAAATTTTCATAAATTGGACCACTGGTTTGTTAGATATCATAAAACATTTTATAAAACTGTTTAAAATAAATAAAAGTATTCTGAAACAGAGATTTACTTCCACATGAGTTTTCTTGTTGCGAACGATTTTCATAGTTCACTTTCAAACTTCAGTTCATATAACAAATAATTCATACTTCAGTTTCATAGAACAAAAAAAAATTTTCAGTATGTTTTATAAGCATTCTAATATTTTCTGACTTTGATGTTTAAATTATTCTGCTTGTTTCATCGTTATCCAAGTTCAAAATTATACTCTACAATTCAGTTTTTACAAAACCCTATAGCTGGATCTCCACCGGGAGCAACGGCAACGAGAATCTCGTTGCCAAAGTTGCGCGCCGGCGCATTAGTGTTGTTTCTCCATGTTGTCATTGCTTCCAGTAGAGTTGGAAACGAGTCAACTTTTGTTACCATTGCCAAGCCTAGTAGCCAATCAGATTCGTTGCCAGTTTCCGCTCCCAAACCTTGTGTTTTGATCTCGCACGTGAAAGAAGCG